AATACATTATTATATGTAGACATTATTGTATCACAATTTTAAAGATGTAAAAATGACATCGCTCATTCTTTCTCCTATAATAATACATCATTTGTTCGTAGTCATGGTTCTATTAACCAATAAATATTTGTTGCAAGTCGGACGTGCTGCTGAATGGTCTATAAAAGAGAACAATCTCAGTAGGTTGCCATAGGTTATGATACCTGTGCTGCCCTCAGGACAGAGTTTATTTTTAAATGCTATTATGAACACTTTTACTTTCATATACTCGAAACAGAATAATAGACCGATTCTCATTCTATTACACTTATATAATTGGATTTCAATATATTTATTAGAAGCAAAAACATTATTATGTGAGATATTTATAATATACAATAACTATTCTAGATGGATTCGTTTAAATATTAATAATGCATTAGAATGCCATCGAATTGACATACCCCAGATTCTACAATAGTGGAAAAATAGAGACTATATGTATCAGTCATAATATGCTTGATTTATTGTGAGAAAACAAAACATTATAACAAAATTTCGACAAAAAAAAACAACTATTTTAGTTTATTTTTCTTATTAGTATTATTAAATGTCATCGTTTTTGTTGTTTCACGTTTTTTACTCGTTTTTTTATCATTATCATTAAATGTAGCTAATTGTTTTTCAAGTTTATCAACTGAACGTTGACTAAGTAAACCTTTTGCTATTAGTTGTTTGATCAGATCTTCAGTTTCATTAAATTCATGTCCACGTGTTTCAGCTTGAGTTTTTAATGCATTCAAATATGAATGTAAAACTTTATGTGTATTCATAGTCAATGGTATTGTTGATTTCTCTTGTGGTTTTTTCAATTTTATTATCTGGTATAGATGTTGTTAATGTATTCGTTGTATCAATATCTAATTCTTCTTCTAATCCAATAATTGATCGTATTTGTGGTGCATTTGTTCTAGTACTACTATTCGTTGATTTTGTTTCTTCACTTATAGCTGCAACAACTTCTGCTGTTTTTTCTGTAGTCGATGTTGTTACAGCAACATCTTTTGCATCTTCAAGACGAGATGCTCGATGTATAAGTTTAACAATATTTTGTACACCAGCATGGATAATTTGATCAAGTTCAGCTTGTATACCACGAACTAATTCTTTATCGGGAAACATATCAGCAAAACGAAAACTGAAAAAAAAATAAAGAATTATTTCAATATTATATTTATATATGTTTACCTTAGCCATAAGTATAAATCTAAACAATCAAATACTTCTTCTAAATGTACTAAATCCATAATTGTATTTGGTATTTCAAATGGCCAACTAATTTGTTTTGCAAGCCAATCAAATGTTGTTGGTTCACTTCGACTATATTGGCGAGCATACTAAAATAAATCGATTTTCATTAGGAGAAATAAAGGAGATTAATTAACTAAAAAGACCGTACTTTTAAAAACATAGTACAAACAAATGGCATTTTTTTGTTAATTGGTGCGCAAGAAAATGTATAACGAGCTCGTAATGGTAATGGTACATGTTCAATAATATCTGCGAGAAATTTAACATCTTCAACATTACACATAAAAAATATACTATCATCTAATTGTGATAGAAGTACAAAGATATCCTAAATAGAGAAAATATTTATATTAAGATTAAAACTAATTTTGAAATTAAAAAATATACAATTAAACTTGAAAGTGAATGTTTAGGTAGATGATAGGCAAACATTTCAATTTGTTCAGCAGTTGGATGAAGTCCAGCACGCTAGAAAGAAGAAGAAATTAGTTTTTTTTGTTTTTGAAATTGAAAGTTTGTACTTTGATTGTTTCGACTTGTCGACTAACAATTTCTTTTAATAATGGTAAATCATCCCGTCGAAATGTGGTTACTTCACCGTCTGGAAAAGCGCTTGCAAATCTAAAATGAATATATATATTTCAATAATTTTTATTTAAATAAATTAACCTTCCAGCTCGACCAGCTATTTGTAAAGCTTGTGAAGTAGTTACAGCATCTTTTTCTTTTTCTCCTTGTTCATTTAACTGTGGTTTAACAAGACTATAGAATATAATACGTTTGATACTTCTACAATAGATAAAATCAATGAAAAAAAAGTTTTATTAAGAAAAAACATTATTAATTTACAAATTTAAACCCATGCCAATAGCATCGGTTGCTACCATAATTTTACATGAATCAGTTGGATCATTAAAACGTTGTGCTTGTAATAATTTCGTACCTAAACAAAAAATTACAATTGCTTATTATACAATAAAAATTTATAATTTTTGTTTTACCTGGTGGTAATGATCCATAAATAACAGCTACTTCATGACCACGTCGTTCTAATTCACGTGTTATATGAAATATATCATTTTTACTGAAGCATACAAAACAATCGCCAGGTTTGACATTATCGAATGTTTCTAAATGATTGCTAAAAAGCGTAAGTTAGTCAAAGTCGTTTGATTTTAATTAATACTAGATATAATGTTAAGCAAATACTCTTATGAATCAAGATATATTGAAATTACATTATTTTTTAAACGTAAAAATTATGAAACCGTTACCTCATCCTATGTATTCTAAAGTATATGATTTTTACCTAATGCACGTTCTTGATAATTTAATTTTGTTAATCGTTTATATTCACGAACTTCTACATCGTCACCTGTTGTAACCATTAACTCTTGTATAAGTCTTATTGTCGAAGCTTCACCACATAGATGAATTTCTTTTGCTTGTATACCTGAACTAAAAATAATTAAAACTCTAGAAATAAAACAATGAATTGATTTTACCAAGTAATGCTCGTGTCCATGCCCAACCACGTTGTGGATCACGCATCATTTGAATTTCATCAATAACAGCGACATCATCTATAGAGAAGAGAAAAAAATAAGAAAACTAGTATTTATAAAATATTATTTAACTTACAGACAGTTGTTAGATTTGTCATTTCAACTGTACATGCTACATGATTAGCTGGTTTTCCTTCAGGATCAGCAAATCGTCGTTCTTCACCCGTTACTAAATCACATTTTGTACCCTTTTTTTTGTAAAAAAATAATTTTTAATATAAAAATTAACAAAAAATCTTTACCGCAGCATTTGTTTTATAAAATACTTCAGATGCTAATAATTTTAATGGTCCACAATAAACTCCACTGTCACTATTCATATAACTTTGAAGTGCATGATATGTCTAGTAAAAAGAAATAGATTGAATTTATCTACTAGAATTTATCACCTACTTTTCCACTATTTGTTGGACCGGCATGAAAAATAATTTTCCTTTGTATAGCTCGTGCATCTGGATACCTAAAGTAATATATTATATCTTACAGAAACTTTCTTTATAATTTCTTTAATATTTTACCAATTTGCTGGATCTCGAAGATCACTTATCTTTTTTAAATCTTCCATACATGATAAATGTGGAAACATTTCTCGTGCATGACGTAAAAAATAAGGAAATATATCAGTTACATGACCTTATGAAATATAAATTTTGATTATGAAATGAAGAAAAGAAAAATCCTATACCAGATCCAGATATAATATCACTTAATACAATATGTAAATCAACAGGTAAAACTGTTGATTGAATACAAAATTTTCTAAAACTAACATATGCATCTTGAAAAAGACGAATATCAAGTCCTTGATCAGCAGCCAATTTTTTAATTTCATCGCGACGATAAAAATCCGTTATAACACGAAGAAGTGCATCTTAATAGAAAGAAAAAGAAATAATAATCTTTTATTTTGAATGAATTGTTTTCATACTTCGTTCCAGCGTTTTACCGCCAGTTAATTCACGTCCAATATCTGCATCAGAATCTTTTGATGATGTTGAATCAAGTTTATCTGTAGTAATCAAAGGTTTAACATCTATCGGTTGAAAAAGTCGACGTAAAGTATTTGTTTGATTATTAGTTTTATTAGGATTTATTCGATGAGAAGCATGATGATGATGTGGTGAATTCGATGAAGTTCTATGTCGTTTATGTGTACTATAATTTAATATTGATGCTATTTTAAATGTATATCCAGAAAAATTTGATGAACGTAATAGTTGTTTATGTAGAGATAACATATTTGATAATCTAAAAATACATTTATTAATTAATAATCTGTTTAAGTAATAATTTAATACGTGATAGAACAATTTCATTTGTTCCTGAAATAGTCTCATTTGTATATGGAGCATTTATTTGAACAATACCATTTTGTATTAAAAGTGTTATAGAATTATTTTCTTCAAGTTTCTCTTTGAATGGTATTCGTTTAGATGAAAGAAATGTACGAATTTTTTCGAGACGATCCGAACTGGAATCATCTTGTTCATTTGATATTACATTCGATGATTGAAATGGATCTTTATATGTTTGAAGTGACGTATTTCGATCAAGAATTTTTAATTGAATAATATCAGGTCGAAGAACAATGTGAACACGATTTGATATATCATCAATCAGAACAATACTTAAATACAAAAAAGAATATATGTCAGATTTATATATTGATCTGAACTCAACAGCATAGATTTTAATTTAAATATGAAGCCAAATTTTTTGTCTTATTATCAGATCATGAAACTGTTTCTTAATCTTTTATCTAATACTAAGATATTATTCTCTTTCGAACCTTTGAGTCAATGGATCGACTGTATAAACTCTTCCTGAATAATTTCGTTGATCACTACATTCAATTTGAACTCGAACATTAATTAATGTTGCATACATATCAACATCAAAATCAAATACTTCATGTAATAAATCATCCATAAATATATATTTTTTTCTCTAGAAACAAACAAATAACAATGAATATTCTTTTGTATGTTTGATGTCAATCAGCATGTTTTTTTTTCTTTATTGTCGAAAGACTATAGATATATATCTCTCATCAGTAAAAACATGAAAGAGAGAATAAAAAAAAAGACAGATATTCGTTTTTTAATGAATGATCAATGTTGTTGCTGAAAGACTTCGAAATAAATTTTAAGCTTTTTTGTTTGTTTTCTTTGATTTCGCAGATTTGCTTTTTGTTTTGTTGTCGGGTTCATCTTCGAAATCTTCATCACCATCATCTTCTACAGCTTCAACATTGTCAAGAGCTGATGCACCTTGTCCTGTTGTGCCTTTCTTCTTCTTCTTATTTTTCTTCTTTTTTTGTGTTGAACTTGTTAATAATTGTTTTATATCACTATCAGTTATTTTATATTCTGATTCATATAAATCTAAATCAATTGGTAGACCGGTTATTTTCATTTGTCCACTGGGCATTAACAATAGTGTAAATTTAAATTCAGCAACAAATTCACCATCTTTTTCTTGATAAACTGGATATGGTTCAACAAGATCATGTTTTGCACATTCAATAACACCCATACGTGCACGTTTTTCATCTTCAAAATGTCTTAATGTAAATGGCATTAATGTAAAACGTTTTTCAACTTCAGATAAAAATACACGTGATGATTTCATACGTAATTGATAAATAAAATCTTTTTTCTTATATACGGTTGTACGTATATCAGTTTCACGTGGTTTACCTTCACCGGATGATACAAGTACATCAACAGCATAAACTTCATGTAATCCAAATTCTTGTTTTTCAATATCACGACGTTGCATTTCACTTGGATTTTGATAGATTTTTTTTTTCACCATCAATAATACCTCGTGACATTTGATATGAAATCATACCTAATT